TATAATTTTTATAAACATACATTGACAAAATCCAAAGATTTTGTGTTATATCATTTTTATCTAATAGTTGGTGTGTCTTCCAAGAAATTCATAATTTTCACATACGAAACAAATAAATAGTCTCATTTTGATGGTCTAGTTTCGTTCTCTAAAGAATATAATAAAATAGATTCATAATTATAATAAAATTAGCAAATCAAAATAATAATTATGATTGAAGAGGCATAAAAAACAAATATTAAATATAACCTCCAACAATATAGGCCGAAATATTGATCATATCAAATAGCAAACAAACCATTATTCTTAAATAAAAAAAAAGTAATCTTAAAATAAAATGTTTATGGAACAAACCATTATTCTAGAAAAAAGAAGTAATCATAAAATAAAATGTTTACGGCTATAATAAACCAAGCCAATTTTATTAGAATTGAACAAATATCTCAATCGTGCATTTTTTCAATCTTCACTTTCACATTTTTTCCATTGCATGAACCTTGGGAATGCGGCACACCATCACCACCATCCTCGTGGTTGATATCTCCAGAGAGACGCTTCTTAGAAAAGGGAGTAGTTTCACCTATTTTTGCATTGTCAGCAACAGATGACACAGTACTCTATACAGAAAACATAGAATTGTTATATATATGTTTACAGTTGAAGTCATATTCATAATTTGAAAGTTCATAAAAATATACTCATAATTATATTTTTACTTTATTGCTTACCCATTCGAGGTCAATGACATTTTCTTGATTCTCAAATACATCCATGGGAGTTTAGTATTAGTATTCTAAGAAAATGTAAGATAGTTGTAAGCATATGAATTTGATAAGAAATTAATTACAAATTGAATTGCAACATTCATGAAAAGTAGCTTACCGCTTCCTCATAAATCAAATCACACCACTTAGATATAATAGTTGCATCATCGGTGAGTCTGGCGACTGTATAAACCCTTTTTGATTGGTTTAGATTGTACCTTTTTATGTCAATTTTGAAAAGATAACTTTTCATCGTCAATATTCCAACTCATTTGGAAATGAATCGCCATCACCAACCTATATTAAGAAAAAAAAAAAA